CCTTCACTTTCCTTCCTTCTCTTCTTCCTTCCTCCTATTTCATTATTTCTTTCTTCTCTTGCATTCTTCTCCTTGCCTTCCTTTTCCTTTTCCTCTTTCTTCCCTTTCTTCCTCTTTCCATTCCTGAATGATCTTCCTTCTTTCCTTCCTTCTCTTCTTCCTTCCTCCTCTTTCTTTCTTTCTTTCTTTCTTTCTTTCTTTCTTTCTTTCATCCCTTGCATTTTCTCCTTCTTCCGTTCCTTTTCCTCTTTCTTCCCTTTCTTCCTCTTTCTTAATGATCTTCCTTCTTTCCTTCCTTCACATTCCTTCCTTCTCTTCTTCCTTCCTCCTATTTAATTCTTTCTTTCTTCCCTTGCATTCTTCTCCTTCTTCCTTTTCCTCTTTCTTCCCCTTCTTCCTCTTTCAATTCCTTAATTATCTTCTTTCTTTTCTTCCTTCACTTTACTTCCTTCTCTTCTTCCTTCCTCCTGTTTCATTATTTCTTTCTTTCTTCTCTTGCATTCTTCTCCTTCTTCCCTTCCTTTTCGTTTTCCTCTTTCTTCCCTTTCTTCCTCTTTCAATTCCTTAATTATCTTCCTTCTTTCCTTTCTTCACTTTCCTTCCTTCTCTTTCCACCCTCCTGCTCCATTCTTCTTTCCTTGCTCCTTTTTCCTCTCCCATCTCTTTTCTATTTCTTTCTACTCCCTTCCTTTCTATCCCCTCCACCTTCAAATTTCACTTCCCCTTCATTTTCCTTCTTCTTTCTTCTCCATAATCTCCTTCCGTCCCTCCTTCTTTCTTTCCTTATTTGTTTATTTCCTTCCTTCCTTTTTCCCTTCTTCCCTTCCTTAGTTTCAGGGCCGGGTCCTGATCCTCACTGTTGTTGCGGCCGGAATCGGGGGCTCCTTCCAATACGGATACAACCTCACCATCATCAACGCCCCGACGGAGGTAAAGAAAGAGAGGAAAGAAAGGAATTAAAGCAAGAAGGAAGAAGAGAAAGAAGGAGAAAGGGGAGAGAAGAAAGGGAAGGGATGTAGGGAGTGCAAGGAAAGGAAGGAAAGGTCCTGGTTTCTCTTTCATTGGAGGTTGTTAAGTAGAGGCTGGAAGGCCATCTGTTGGGGGGGATCGAATGGTGCATGGGTTGGACTGAATGGCCTTTAGGGGTCTCTCCCAAATATATTTTAAAATAATTATTGATTTATATATCTGTCTCTATCTATCTATATATAAATTTTATATTTATTATATTTATTTATTTATATTTTATATTTATTATCTATTACATTTTTTATATTTCTGACTTTTCTGGTTGTGAAATGGAGGAGTAAAATATATTCATATTGTGTGTGTGTGTGTATATATATATATACACACACACACACACATATATATATATAAAATTGTATATTTATTTATATTTTATATTTATTATCTTTATTACATTTTTTTATATTTTGGACTTTTCTGGTTGTGAAATGGGGGAGTATTTATTTGTTGTGTCAGGGCAACCAGTCAATTGTATTGCATTTCTAACAGAACAAAACAAACAGACAAAATACAAAATTTGTGAGTTTGGTAGTGGATTAAATGTCCTTTGACCGGTATCTGTCCCCTTGGAGTGCCTCTGGCGTCGCTGTGAGAAGGTCCTCCCTGGTGCATCATGTGGCAGGGCTCAGGTTGCATTGCAGCAGGTGGTCAGGGGTTTGCTCTTCTCCACACTCGCATGTTGTGGATTCCACTTTGTGGCCCCATTTCTTGAGGTTTTGCTCTGCATCTCGTGGTGCCAGAGCGCAGTCTGTTCAGCGCCTTCCAAGCCCAGGGGGGAGTCTCTCATCTGGTATCAGCCATTGGTTGAGGTTCTGGATTTGAGCCTGCCACTTTTGGACTCTCGCTTGCTGAGGTGTTCCAGCGAGTGTCTCTGTAGATCTTAGAAAACTATGTCTAGATTTAAGTCGTTGACGTGCTGGCTGATACCCAAATGGGATGAGCTGGAGATGTCTCTGCCTTGGTCCTTTCACTATTGGCTGCTCCTTCCCGGCGGATGTCAGGTGGTGCAATACCGGCTAAGCAGTGTAATTTCTCCAGTGGTGTAGGGCGCAGACACCCCGTGATAATGCGGCATGTCTCATTAAGAGCCATCCACTGTTTTAGCGTGGTGAGATGTGTTCCACACTGGGCATGCATACTCAGCAGCAGAGTAGCATAGCACAAGGGTAGATGTCTTCACTGTGTCTGGTTGTGATCCCCAGGTTGTGCCAGTCAGCTTTCGTATGATATTGTTTCTAGCACCCACTTTTTGCTTGATGTTCAGGCAGTGCTTCTTGTAGGTCAGAGCACGGTCCAGAGTGACTCCCAGGTATTTGGGTGCGCTGCAATGCTCCAGTGGGATTCCTTCCCAGGAAATCATCCGCAGAGTTCAGGATGCTTGTCTGTTCTTCAGGTGAAAAGCACATGATAGCCTGGGGTTGTTCCTATTCCTATTATAATTCCTATTATGATAGCTCTGCCCTGTTCAAGGGCTTTCTCTCTTACCTGAAGTGTATATGAATGGTGCTTAAGTAAACCTGTAGCACATCAGGTATGTTTATTGCACGAAAGCGTTCCTGTATGGATCTCTCCCTGACTTTGCCATGTCTTTTGCCACTTCCCCCCTTGCAGCCCCTCCAGGCCTTTGCGAACGCCTCCTGGTTGGCGCACTGGGGGTCCCCGCTGGGGGTCTTTGGGACGAAGCTGTGCTGGTCGCTGGTGGTCTCCCTCTTCCCTCTGGGGGGCCTGGCGGGGGCGCTGCTGGCCGGACCTCTGGCCCTCAAGGCAGGACGGTGAGCCTTGAGGGAGGGATGGACACTGGACAGACATCTGTCGGGAGGGGTCTGAGGGTGTTGGGAAGGATGGCCTTTGTCCTCGGGCCAACTTCAGCCCTCCCTCCGGATGTTTTGGACTCCAACTCCCACAATTCCTACCAAAATCAAACAGGAAGAAATCTCTGCTCCTCAACAACGCCTTTGTCCTCCTCTCGGCCGTGTTGGTGGTCAGCAGCAGGTCAGCAAAGTCCATTGAGATGGTCTTCCTGGCACGCTTCCTGGCTGGAATCAACTCTGGTATTATTATTATATCAGTGATATCATTATTATTATTATTATTATTATTATTATTATTATTATCTACCATTATTATTATTATTATTATCTACCATTATTATTTGTTGTTGTTGTTGTTGTTGATCAATTCCACTCTCTGCAGGGGTGGGGTTGAATGTCCAGCCCATGTACTTGGGGGAGAGTGCCCCACGCGACCTCCGCGGCTGCGTCTCCTTGACCGGCGCCGCCTTCACGGCCCTCGGCCTGGTCCTGGGCCAAGTGGTGGGGCTCAGGTGAGGACGGTCAAGGGGTCAGGGGGTCATGGATAAATATGAGATTATGGTTTGAATGGAATTGAATGAAAAGATTATGTTTTGTGTGTGTGTGTGTCAGGAGTGATTGAGAAACTGCAAGTCGCTTCTGGTGTGAGAGAATTTACTGTCTGCAAGGACGTTGCCCAGGGGACGTCCGGATGTGTTACCATCCTGTGGGAGGCTTCTCTTGTGTCTCGACATGAGAAGTTGAAGCTAACAGATGGGAGCTCACCCCGCTCTCTGGATTCAAACCACCGATCTTTCGGACAGCAGTCTTGCTGGCACAAAGGTTTAACCCAGCCATGGGCAAACTTCAACTCCCACAATTCCTGAGCTTAAGCAGTTTAGGGGGAAAAGAAATTAGGAATTGTGGGAGTTGAAGTCCAAAACATCTCGAGAGACAGCCCAAGTTTGCCTATATCTGGTTTAACCCTTTGCGCCACCAAGAGCTCCTAGGAGTATAGTTAGGGACTATATATATCGCCTAAACATGCCATCCTAAGGAATACTGAGGCCAGGAAAACTACTGAATTCATGAACAGTAATTAAAAGTGGCTGAACTGCTGATGTTGATGACTAGAGACAAATGATTAACTCTTTAGTAATGTTTACATTACCGCTCTTTTGAGTTAAGAAAAGTAAAGTTAAAGTAAGGCTCCTTACTTTATTTATTTATTTATTTACGACATTTCTAGGCCGCCCTTCTCACCCCGAAGGGGATTCAGAGCGGCTTACAAGGTGTATATACATACAATATATTATTAGCATGGTACAATATCAGTTTTAAATATTGCTATATTGTACTATATCAATTATACTGTCATATTCTTAGTAATATTACATGTAATATAAACATATAATTATAATATCATTAGTAGTAGTATTATATTGCATTACATTATAACATTATCAATATAATATATATTATATTATATTATATTATATTATATTATATTATATTATATTATATTACTAGCCCAGTGCAGGAGACACAATTATTATTATTACTATTATTTATTTATTTATTTACGACATTTCTATGCCGCCCTTCTCGCCCCGAAGGGGACTCAGAGCAGCTTACAAGGTATATATATATGCAATATATTATTAGCATAGTACAATATCAGTTTTAAATATTGCTATATTGTACTATATTAATTATACTGTAATATTATTAGTAATATTACATGTAATATAAATATATCATTATAATATCATATTATTATTAGTATTATATTGCATTACATTATAATATTATAAATATTATATGTTATATATTATATATTATATTATTAGAATAGCACAGGAGACAAGGTGGAACTGTCCCCTTCCCTCCCTTCTCTCTGGCCCAGAGTGATAGTTGGTGCTGGGGGGAGGGGTCCCCAACCGATGGCTTTTTCAGGAGACAAGATGGTGCTGTCCCCTGGCCTCCCCTCCCTTCACTCCAGCCCAGAAGGAAAGCCAATTACCACGTAAGGAAGCAAAGTCAACATCTGTCCAGGAACTGATGGGGAGCCAGGATGTTTTAGCTGGAAACACACTTGTCATTCATTTACAAAGACAATTGGAACATCAGCAAGGAATATTGCTATATAAGAGACCTTTTACTATTCCAAAATTGTGGCAGACTGGAGGGGTCTGGTTACTCACCATGTTCTGCTCCATGGGAAGGAGAGAGAGATGGTGTATTTGCAGGGTGAGAGATCTGCATGGAAAGCACAAGTCTGGCCGCCTGCCTTCTTCTTGGGTTGGAAAGGAAGGAGTGCATCTTGGAAAAGTATTGGAAGTATTGGGAAAGTGGGAGATCTGCAGGGAAGCAACCTGGCCGAGATGGAGGAAGAGTGGTGATGTATGCATGATGGTGAATGAATGTTTATATATGTGTACGTGTGAATGCGAAGTAGATGTGGTAAAATCCCCTTTGCTTGTTTGTGTATCCAGTCTAGTTATATAGAATCTGTATGTCTGAAGTTGTGCAAAAGTTGCTCTGATATACTCTTTCGCACAGAAATTGCAATCGAAAGAACCTTCGTTTGGAAAGTATTCACAACAAGGGGTCAGAGGGGCAAAGAGCCTGAGCAGGCATTAATGGAGGGGGCTTACTTCCTTTCTTTGCTTGCTTGCTTCCTTTGCAGGGAGATCCTGGGGTCGGAGGGGGCCTGGCCCTTCCTGCTGTCCAGCAATGCTGTCCCGGCCGTCCTGCAGCTGGCCCTCCTGCCCTGGGCCCCTGAGAGCCCCCGCTTCCTCCTCATCGACCAGAAGGACCCTAAGGCCTGCCTGGAGGGTGAGTCCAAGTGTGTGTATGTGTGTGTGTGTGTGTGTACAGCTGCTCGCGTGTAATGCACTCTAGCCTTGAGGTAACTTTTCACCCAGCACCACAACAGAGTCCAGTAGTACTGATTACCATCCTTGTTTATCCCTCAGTCTCTGAGGAAAACATAGTTGTCTCTTCTTATTTATTTATTTACAGTTCTTATATTCCGCCCTTCTCCTCACCCCGCAGGGGACTCAGGGCGGATTACAGTAAACACATATCTGGCAAACATTCAATGGCAGTTTGACAAACAACATTTAACAGACAAATACACCGAGGCTATTTAACTTTTTTTCTGGCCGCCAGGGGAGCTGCTGCTTTTCATCATCCATCAATGACACCGATGAAGTTCTTCCGCATTCCACATTCCCTGGAGTCTTTTTTTTCTTTATGGCCTCATAAATTAGTTAAATTTAGCCTCCCACACAAGGTGGTACCTTATTTTCCTACTTGACAGATGCAACTGTCTTTCGGGTTGCAAAGGTCGACAATGGGCTACACAATGGCTGGACATCCACTCCAGTCCGGGCTGGCTTCGAACTCATGACCTTTTGGTCAGAGTGATCTTAATGCAGCTGACACTCAGCCAGCTGCGCCACAATCCCTCTCCTTCACTATGCTTTGCAGTTCAGCAAGCGTCAGAGGATTTTTCTGAAGGTTCAGAACAGGGGTCCTCAAACTATGGCCTGGGGGCCGGGTACAGCCCTCCAAGGTCATTGACCCGGCCCTCGCTCAAGGTCAACCTAAGTCTGAAATGACTTGAAAGCACACAACAATAACAACAATCCTATCTCATCAGCCAAAAGCAGGCCTACACTTCCCACTAAAATACTAATAAGTTTATATTTGTTAAAATTGTTCTTCATCTTAATTATTGTATTGTTTTTAAATATCTTTTGCACTACAAATAAGGTATGTGCCATGTGCATAGGAGTTCATTCATGCTCTTTTCAAATTATAATCAGGCCCTCCAACAGTTTGAGGGACTGTGACCTGGCCCTCTGCTTAAAAACTTTGAGGACCCCTGGTTCAGAAGATGAGTGGGATGATGGATTTCAAAATGTCTGATCAGAGAGGTCAAAGAGGATTGCCAGCAGATTCAGGCTGATGTTTTGGATTCCTGTGCTTGGTCTGTGGAAAGTGAAAGTTCCTTGAAGAACCAACCTTGGGCAGATAGAGAGGTTTCCAGAGAGAGGAGATTAGACATGAGAACACAGGGAGTGAAACCCAGGCCAACTAGGTATTCCCAGCGGATCAGAGATAAGACTTTGAAAGCCAGGTGTGTTAGACATGATTTCATGGGTATCTCAGAGGGCTTAAATTAAAGGGTTTGGCTTCAGGCCCCTCAGAGGAGACAACATTACTAAAGGAGATGGGTCTTCTTTTTCTGCTCTGAAGTTCATGTCCAAGTATTCCCAAGTTTCCTGTGTTGACTGATGCCTGTGTTTCCTTGGTGAAGATCCTGTTTGTATGCCGATGGATTTATGTCCATGCCTTTTTTTTTTTGTTTCCTTGACTTTATGTCCCTTGCCATTTTTGGATTACTGTTATTTTGTATTTTCCGTACTACAGATCTTGTTGGAATTGCTCTTTCTCCCTTTTTTTACTCTGTTTTCTTTAATAAAGATTTAAAAATAGAATTACTGGCCTCTGGTGTGGTGTTGGGTGAGCAGGTGCCTCAGGGCTAGAGTGCAACAGTATCCTTGCGGAACCTTGCGGAACCTTGCGGAACCGGAACCCCTGGGTTCTAGGGATTGCTCCTCTCTCCCCCGCATTCTTTCCGAATCCATCCCCCCGGCAGACTCGCATGAGAACTGCTTTCTGTTTCCCTAACATCACAATAAACAACTCCATTCCCACTGCAGAATTCCTATCTTCCAAGGCAACTTCTTGAGACCAACCAAAAAGTCCCCCTCCTCAGAGGTGTTGGGAATCAGCCTGTGTTTGTGTTTCAGGATCCTGATGTGGGAAATGATGAGGGAAATGATGGTGCCGAGGCTGAGGTGCAAGACGGAGATTTTTTTTGTCAATGATTTTCAGGCAGACAATGTCAGAGAGGCCTCAGTGCAAAGGGCAGTTTCTCACGAGAATATCCCTGCTGGGCCTAGCAATGATAGTTCACTCCCTCTCTCTGTGAGCTCTCAAGATTTGGGTTTGGAAAACAATCTGACACCTGGGAACTTTAATGAGCAGCCAGATAGGGAACTGAAGACTAGGTGTCTGGAGTTTAGCCAGGATCGACAGCAAACTCAGTGTTTATGTCGCTCTGAAAGGCTTTGTTTGATAAGGGGCGTGCGGGGAAAGCGAAACCAATTTCTGAGTGTTGGGATATAAGGTTTGCCTCAAGAGGAAACCTGTTAGATCAGGCATCATTTGGAAATCCTGTGCCATGGAAAGCCTGTTCAAGGGGTCTTGTTGGATTGTCTTTGCATCCTGTTGATTCCTGTCTAGTTAAATACTGTCTTGGGTTGCTTTTATATCTGGTGTAGACATTGCTTTGTGTTACAATTTTTTTATGGACTTATTACTTTTGGAACTTGCTTATTTTCTTACAAGCATTTATTTCTTCTGGCTATTTACTAAGCTTCAATAAAAGAAGATTTGTTTCTTCATTCTTCGTGTGGTGTGTCAGGAAAAAGTCAGAGGGCTTTTTCCTGACCTGGAGTGCAACAAGACCTCAACAGTGTTTGTGGGGGGAGGGGGTCTCCCACCTTTGGCCATGACAGCCCCCCCATGATGCCCCCTGATCTGCCTTCCCTTCCTTCAGCGCTTAGGAGGCTGTCGGGCCCATTGGGGTTCCTGGAGGCAGAGGTGAAGCCCCTCCCCTCTGAGAGGCCCCACCCCCTCTTTCTCTTTGCATAGAAGCAAGCCCCTCCTCTCCAAGTGAGGCTCTTCCCCTTTCTTGACCCAAAATGTGGCTCCTCCCACTAACCTTCCCCTTGTCATTTGCAGAGTAAAGCCCCACGCCTACAAAGTGGGCTCCGCCCCCTCATTCTCCTGTCACTTGGTTAGAGTGAAGCCCCACCCCCTCCAAGTGAAGCTCCACCCCTTTCTCTTCTCCTAGACTCCTCCTACTAACTGTCCTCTTGTCACTTGCATGGAGCCAAGCCCCGCCCCTCAACTTCCCCCTGTCATCTGTATAGTGAAGCCCCTCCCCTCCAAGTGAGGCCCCACCTCCTCCTATCACTTGCTTAGGGTGAAGCCCCACCCCTCCATCAAGGCACCTCCCCCTCTTTCTCTTTGCATAGAACCAAGCCCCTCCCCTCCAAGTGAGACTCCTCCCACTGACCCTCCCCTTGTCCCGTTCTTCCCTCCAGCGCTGCGGAGACTGAGGGGCACGTCGGGGTCCCTGGAGGCGGAGGTGGAGGAACTCCTGGCGGAAGAGGCTGCCGTCCGGGGTAAAGTGGCCCCCTCGCTCCTTGACCTCTTCTGTGCTCGGGAAACCCGCTGGCAGCTCCTCTCTGTCGTGGTCCTCTCCTCCGCCATGCAGCTCTGCGGGAACGACTCCGTGAGTGGCGGGTGGCAAAGGGGGCGGGGCCTCCCTTGAGGGGCGGGGCTTGGCTCTATGCAGATGGCAGGAGCAAGAGGGGGAGGGTCCCCACTTGGAGGGGAGGGCTGTCATTTGGAGAGGAGGAGCCTCACCTGGAGGGGGCGGGGCGTGGCTCCATGCAGGTGACAAAAAGGGGAGGAGCCTTGTTAGAGGGTGGGGCCTGGGGGGAGGAGGGGAGGAGCCTTGCCTCTCATGGAGGGGAGGGCCTTCACTCTGTGCAAGTGACAAAAAGAGGGTTAGTGGGTGGGGCCACACTTGGAGAAGGGAAAGG